TTATTTCTGACATAAGATTTGACAGACAAATTGAGTTTCTGACATAAGATTTTGACAGACTTGATTCTGACATAAGATTTTTCATACATAAGATATTTTGACAGACAATATATATTTGTTTTTTTTGACTGACATTGGAAATCAAATCCTAGTTGAAAGTTATTTTTAAAACTCCTGGAAAATACTGCAGCCTAACATCTAACAAGATTTCACTACAGATCAAAGAACTTTAACTGTTAGCACATTCAAATGTTTCAGACATAAGAAAACAAGTTTGACAGATCTTATGTAGGAAACATATAAGTTAAAACTATTGCTTGAATAAAGTTAAATGAAAGAATCAACATGTGTTTTTTCTTATGCACAGCATGACTTACAGTTTTAACTGGCATATATTGGAACCTACAATGATTTTGAAAGTTTTTACAGCGATGTTTCTGACATAAGATTTATTGACAGACACTGAGCTATAAAGCAAGATATTTGAAAGTGAAAAAAAATATATATCACAGATGTTTTTGACTAAAAAAAGTAACAAATTTGGGAACAGGGATGTTTGAATAACCAGACTACACTAGTAAATACCAATATAAAAGTGTCAACATAAAGCATTGCAACACATAAACATTGTGTAAAAAAATGGGAGTTAATTCTGTCAAAATCTTTGCATTTTTTCAACTTGTTTTAATCATTTCTACTTTAAACGGAAACAATCATATCCAAAAATTATTTTTATAATTTCTTCTAACATCATTATTCCTCAAAACATTCACAGATTATCTTTAAAATAACAGTAATTATTATTTTTATCTATTTATTCATTTTGACAGACATTTCAATTTCTTATATAGAATCTGCCATTTGACAATAGAATCAAATACCACAAATATTTACTTCTATATAAATGTATGTGTATGGAAGCACCAATGTACCTAGCTCAAAAGTTTAAACTGAAATCAGATAATAATCATTACTCCTTGAGAGGTGTCACTCAAGGTAATCTGATAGTTCCTAAGCCAAAAGCTGAGCTATTTAAGAAATCTTTTGCTTATTCTGGATCAGTGTTATGGAATGGACTACCACACAAAATGCGTAAAGCTCAAAACACTTATACTTTTAAACAAAGTATCAAAGTCCTGATAAGATTATGTTTTCTACAATGTTTTGTATACTTTTTTATTTTTATTTGATTTTTTGACTACATGTACATCTTGAACAGCTTTATATCTTATCATGCTAATAATATTACATTGAACTAATTGACTGTAAATTAACTATGTGTAAATATCTGTTTTTGATTGTATTGTAATTTGTATGTGAGGGCCTCAGGGAAGATTAGTTTATTGTAACTAACTGAGTTTACCCTCTTTCAATAAAGAATTTATTATTATTATTATTATTATTATTATATATTTGCCACTGACACATAAAAAATCAAAAGAAATTTAGAGGTCAATAATTGGTTTTAACAATTGACCAGTGTCTATACATGCTATAGATACAAAATAAACAAAACCTAGAAGACACAATTCTGGAAATAGTAAGTACACAGTTAGTAAAAAGGTTAGATCAAAATTGCCAAATGTTTTCAGATCCTATAAGCAATAGGTCAACAATATTTTGGTGTACATGTCTGTCTAGCGCCGGGTATCATCTGACCTTGACCTCATTGTCATTGTCTCACTTTTCTCAGACTTGTTTGTACGGTATGATTCCATTTGGTTAGTCAAATAAGCAAATCAACCCCATACACGTAAATGTATTCCTCCTTGAGCAAGAGATCAAAGTTATAACTTTGGTAACATGAGTCATCCTGAAAAGTTTGTTTTTTTCCCTAATATCTTGAGAGGACATGTCGGTTAATTAAAAGATTTGAGTAATTTTTTTATACACATTGTAGATAGTTTAATCATTGAATCATAAGCTTTAATCTTAAATATCAAAACAAATTTGTTAAATTCCAATTTTTCATAACTGCTCGCTTGGCTGGTTAAGATACGAGGAGAATCATATTCACTATGCCGCACACAATCTTACTGCCATCATGGCCATGACAGCAGAGAACTGTGACAATTTAAAATTATCTTATATAGATATTATTATTGTTATTATTGCACAATAGAATTCTTTGTATTGTAATGTTTTTAATTATCCTGCAATCTTAACTTTCTACTATACAGTATGGGTTTTTCTAATTTTTCTGGATGCTTTGGCATGTTGGTATATCCTCTTTCTGAATAAATTTTTTTTTTCGACCTGTGTCACATTCTAAAATATAACTATGATGTCCCATTTCATGTCATGGCTTAATGGACAGACCCATATATACATATAGTTTTGGAATCGGTACATGGGATTCGACCCGGAACTTGTTCATTATTGGCAATATTAATTATGTGGAAAACGAAAGGGCCTGGAAAGGTGTAATTTTTAATCAACACTATTGTCCTAAATTAGTTAAATATAAAGTTGAATTCTTTTATTCTTTGTTTTTACGTCATGCAAGCTAACAAATTGGACCTCTTTGTTTTAGTAGTATAGATATATATCATGTATATATAATACAAAAAAAAAAAATATTCACCCAAAACCTCACAAAAAGGGAAGAAAAAGATAAATATAACATTAAGAGCAGAATTGAAAAACCAAATGCAATATGACTTTAAATAGGTGCCGATTTGACTAGATGCTGATTTGACTTTTCATGTTTTTTCCATAGGTGTAGATTTGACAGACACCCAGTGCCATTTTCAAAAGTTGGCATTATGGTGAGGGGATGCAGGACCTTTTACGGGACGTCAGGATTGGCCATTTTTAAATACGGAAAATCAGGATGCCTACAAATTAACTCTGGGGTTTCGGGAAAAATTGTGAACGAGATTCGGGATTTCCGTATTTTAAGCTCGGGAAATCAGGATTTTTGCTTGTCATGCTTGTCGGGATGACAATTTTTCCTTAAATTCTTCCAAAACAAATCACAGAACCCTACTGTTCCTGAACTTAGTTTTGTGGTTAATAGAAACATATCCAGATCGGGCCGAAACCTCAAGATTTCTTGTCCTTTGAAGGATTGCTATTGAAGATTTTAAAACAAACTAATAGTCTACATGATCTACATCATTTTATGTACATGTATGAATGAAAAACTGATTTGATACATTTCACTTTCATAAAAATATAAAACTCTGAAATACATTTTCCGCTCAAATTTGTGCTAGGGGCATTCTTGGAACTTAAGATCTTAGTCAAATTTAAGGTTTAAGGACAGCACAAACATCTTTACATACTTGGATTCCGGTCAAGGTCATGTGCATCGTATTCATTCTTATTCATGGAGTGCATATAATGCGCCCTGCTGGATTCATTTTCAACAGGAATGCTTTTAATCATAATTTTGGAAAGCCAAATAAATCATAAACAAGGAAAATGTGTCCACAGTACATATATGTCCCACTCGCACTATTATTTTCCTTGTTCAGCGAACCATGAAATTTTGGGTCAAAACCCTAATTTGATATACAAGTTAGAATAATAATATCATAAGGAACATGTGTACGATGTTTCAAGCTGATGCGACTTCTACAACATCATAAATTACCTTGACCAAAAACTTTAACCTGATCCAGGACGGACTGTCGGACGCACAGACCAGAAAATATAATGCCCGACTATGTAGCAATAAAACTAACAAACGAAATATTAAACGAGTAAATTCCATTTTGATTAAGAGAGTCAGAACCTTATTTGATTCTTATCTTGAATAATTCCAGAATTTATCGACAAAAAAATGATACCCTGAGGACATGTATCAGTCCAACAAAAAAAGACACAAGCTGCATGGGTGGCAATAAACTTTCTAGATTATCTTATTGAGATCTATTGAGGCATGCCTATTGCACAATAATTTGAAACTGAAGTCAACAGCTCATAAAAATAGCTTTATAAACAAAAAACCAAAGGAGGGGACAAAGTTGTTGTTTTAGCTCCGAACACCAAAATACCGAGTGGTCACGGAAATTAGTCATAACTCACAATGATAACTATACTCATCACTGACTATACTAGTCTGTCAGCACTGGGGTTGCAAGTTAGAATATGATCCTCTTTTTAAAAGCAGATCGTGTTAGACTCCATTCTGAATTGACAAGGATTTCAGTTTTACTGCCGAAAGACGACGTTTAACCACAAAAAAACCAAACAATCAAAAATCAGAATCCGCATTAACAATGATTAAAGCACCAAACAAAAACTTGGGGAATTTATAAAGTACAGTTTTAAACTGTCGGTTACGGCTTACGGTTACAAAATACAAACATCTTTCATTACACACATGCTACAAAGGCAGAGTTATCCAGTTTCTCCAAGAGGGTCACCATGCCTTGCCAACTTACAGTTTTATAGCAATAGATATTCAAAAGACATCGTAATCCCATGAAAAAAGTATGATTAACCTGTTTATCTGAGGTTAGAGGCCATATTTATCATTTCGGGATTATTCTTTTGTCGGGGACATGGGATTTCAATGTTTTTAGATTGGGAATTCGGGATTTGGGCAAATTGAAGTTTGGGAATTCGGGTTTAGAACACCTCCTGCCCCCCCTCTATGATGATTGCTGTTGGATGTCAAAAGTTCAAGAGTTGCAAATTCTCAGGTCAAGTGTAGCAGATTCCCAAATAGTGATAAGGTCTTATTCAAGTTATTGGAATAAACATATTGTATTAATCGTTTATTTGTACTTGACTCATCTAACCTGACTGTATATATCACCAGCATGTATATACACACATAACAACAAAATATACACACATAAAAACAAAATAACATTCCACAACCATCTGTTTTGACTGCAAGTTAAATGAGTTTGAGTTCAGTTTTGAGTTTTAAAAAAACGCGATAAAAAACGGAAATGAAAGTACAATCAGAATATTTATTCATGAATGAATGAACTGTATCCGGCTGTCAACAGGACATATTCTATTTTGTAAATATATTCTTTTACCTTTTATGATGTGACTACCATTTTAATGTAAGTTCTGACTTTTCACGTGGACTTCTCTGGGTTGTCGATTCCAACAAATGTTTGTTATCATAGTCTGTACAAAACCACATGATCGGATGTCAACTTTCACTTTCTAAAATTACCTCCCCTTTCCGCTATAACTTTGGCGGGAATAATCAAATTTACATTTCGGCTGTTGAGACAATATATGAAAAAGTCTAATTTCCATGTTCCATCTTTCACCAGCAATTATATTTTTATTCAGGCATCTTTTTGGAAATTTTAAGTTTCAGTATTAACTAGAGTATATTATGCACCAACTATTACCAATTAAACACTCTTTCTTATATTTCTTCTAATAAAATATTATAATTTAAATGTTCAACTAAATCATTCAAAGAATATCTAGATTAAGTAAACAGGCTTCCGATTTTCACAAATATGATAGATTATATAGAAAACTTGTCACTTAATGGTCTGATTTTGTTCTAACTAAATCATGTGATAAAATTTTTCATTTTTAAGGGTCTTTTAAATTTGTCCCAAGGGATAATTTCCCTCCTGTTACCACTGGGTTTTTTCACCTGTAGAAACGTTTGAAAGACCAAGATTTTATTTCTTGTAATGCAATGAGAAGAGCATCATTTCCTGAATGTATGACTCCATATGTAAACTGAGGTGAATGGCAGCCAGTTTGAAAAATCCGAACTCCCCAAAGATCAGAATTTAGAGAAAAATAATTTTGTTGTTCTCCTCTGTTACAGCCTTTTTGTGTACCTTCTGAGAATATTTCATTGTCAGCACTGTAACAGTAAATGTTGTTTTTATAGTATCTTATTAAATTGATATGTAGATGGAAGTAAACTTCTACACAATTCGAATAAAAAGACAAAACTAGAGTACTGTGTAATTCTATGGAAAGCCTCAGCTGTCATATATTAGAGATTTACAAAACGTTATGCTGAAGCTTAAAATGTAAAGTTAAGACAGCGTGATGTTGAATTGAGTCACCAAAATGCTAACTCTAAATTACAATATGCAAAGTTGAATTTGCGCAATGTTGACTTGCAATGACAAGTGCTTTAGTCGTGATAGTATAATGATAAGTCACGATGTTGTGATGATATGCCAAACACATGTGACGTTGGGTTAAAGTACATGATGTGAAGTTGACGTTGCATGATGTTAGCTTGCAGATTGATACTGCTCAGTCATCCACATCGACAGCTATGATAACAAATAAAATGAATAGCTAAAATGTATGGTGCTGCCTTGTTATTAATAAATGTCGAGCTGTGATAGTACGATGTTATATCATTGTGATATTACGATTGGTCTATCATGCAATCTGTTGATTTAAAACACCATGATGCACAGTTGAAAGTATATGATGTTAAGTTAAGATAACACGATGCTACACCACTATATTGAAACGAAATGTTTACCATACAATTTGTTGACTTAAAACAACACGATGCAACGTGTTGAGCCGCTAAGATGCTCTCTTGAAATTACAGGACGTACAGTTGAAATTTTGTAATGCTAAGCTACGATAGCACGATGTTATATCATTATAATGTCACAGTAGGCTTATTATACAATTTGCTCATTTAAAACTACACAACGTACAGTTGAAAGTATGTGATGTTGAGCTATGATAGCACGATGTTATATCATAATAATATCACGATAGGCTTGCCATACAGTATGCTCATTCAAAACTACACGACGTACAGTTGAAAGTACGTGTTGTTGAGCTAAAATAGCACGATGTTATATCATTATGACGTCACGATAGGCTTACCACACGATATGCTCATTTAAAACTACATGATTTTCAGTTGAAACTAGGTGATGTTAAGCTAAGATAGCCATGTTGCTATATCATGTGAATGTCACGATAGGCTTATCATACAATATGCTCATTTAAAACTACACAACGTACAGTTGAAAGTATGTGATGTTGAGCTATGATAGCACGATGTTATATCATAATAATATCACGATAGGCTTGCCATACAATATGCTCATTCAAAACTACACGACGAACAGTTGAAAGTACGTGTTGTTGAGCTAAGATAGCACAATGTTATATCATTATGACGTCACGAGAGGCTTATCATACAATGTGTTGACTTGATACTACACGATGTAAATTTGAAGTAGTTTGGTCTTGACTTGAAACAGTAAAATGTTAAGTTATAAAAACAGAACGTAAAGTCAAAATAAAACAATGATAGGATGACATATACTTGTGCAGAATTGAAGATTTTTGCTGTTGACTTCGAATATAGTACAAATATTAGATCGTTTTATGTTAAATTGAAAGACAATAATGATGCGTAAAACATTACAGAATTATGTGAATTGAAACTGCAATTCTATGGAAAAGAATGAGGGACAAATCCCAAGGATTTTTTCTTCTTCAATTGCAAGTTCGGAGGCAAAATGATTCAATAAGCAAAAGAATTACCCATCGCTATATATTACACTTGAATATAGTTTTGCCGTATATTTTACATGTTTTGTTTGGATTTTTTTTTATGATTAAAAACCAGACTTTTTTTTATGAACAATATTTAAGAAAATATTTATCTATGTTGTGTGTTAATATATACAACATAATATTGTGCTTATAAGACTTATGACTGTGAGGGTCAAATTTTACTCAAATAAAATCACATCTATGTAAGAGTTAGCGGAGAATTTGTATTTACCACTCCCGTTTTCCACGAAATAGAACATAAGAATCTGGAGTCTTAATCTTAAAAAACAAAGATCAACTGATATGACAAATAATACGATTAGCGTAGGACTGAGAGGGTCAGAGCTATATCAGAATGTGACCCCACCCCCGGTCTTGTTAGAGGTATCTGAAAATTAGAATTTTCTTTTCCATGAAATAAAACAAAAGAATCTGGACTTAATCAAAAGTGATGCGATTACGACTTCCATAGAATGTCAGAGACAGTTTGTCGACTAGTTCGTTGAAAATTCGGCTAGGCAAGTAAAGTATGTCTTGTAACAAAGCAGGGTTTATTCATATTCATATCACACTTACATGTTCTCGTCCTGATATGCATGTGCTATTTGCCACTGTACGTAAAACGCACCCCTTTTCCCCGAAATAAAACAAAAGAATCTGGACTTAATCAAAAGCGATGCGATTACGATTTCCATAGAATGTCCGAGACAGTTTGTCGACTAGTTCGTTGAAAATTCGGCTAGGCAAGTAAAGTATGTCTTGTAACAAAGCAGGGTTTATTCATATTCATATCACACTTACATGTTCTCGTCCTGATATGCATGTGATATTTGCCACTGTACGTAAAACGCACCCTTTTCCCCGAAATAAAACCAAAAAATCTGGACTAATCAAAACCGAAGCTATTTGGATTTCCATAGATTGTCAGAGTCGGTTTGTCAACTAGTTTGTTAAAAATTCGGCTAAGCAAGCAAAATATGTCTTGTACAGAGCCAAGATTTATTCATATTCATATTACACTTACATATTCTCGTCCTTATATGCATGTAATATTTGCCACTGTACACTAAATACAAATACATTTTCATCAATTCTTTTTTTATGAAAAGGAGCATATTTGAAGCACGTTCATCGATTTGACACCCAGTAGTTCATGTTTTTTGGGATTACCTCGTAAATTATAACACATTCCTCCTTTATTTCCAAAATCGCCAAGTGACGGGTGCCACATATGAAACAGGATCTGCTTACTCTTCTGGAGCACCTGAGATCACCCCTTTTTTGAGGGTTTCGTGTTGCTCAGTTTTTGATTTTCTATATGTTGCGCTTAATATACTGTTGTTTGGCTTTTGATCTTTTTTCTCTCGTTTATTTCGTCTTATTTTAGGGAGCTACCATTTGATTTTTATTGGGGGGCTAGAATGAAATTTGAAAAAGGCAGGACAGGAGTTTTGAGTAAAAAAAGGCAGGATGAGCAACTTGGCAAAAAAAAAAAAGGCAGGATGACAATTTATGTAAAAAAAAGTCAGAATAAACTAATAAATAAAAAAAGCAGGACCGAATAGAGTGAAAAATAAAAAGGCAGGACAGAGATTACAACTAAAAAAAGGCAGGACAAAATTTTTCGTCCTAGCTACCCCCCCCCCCCCCCCCCCCCCCCCCCCCCCCCCCCCCCCCCCCATAAAAATCACATGGTAGCTCCCTTAGATTCTCATATAGCTCAACACAATCGGTCTAGATCTAAAAAAATATACATATTTTGAGAGAGGAATGTTATTCATATGTAGTACTTTTCATCTTGATGAAGAAAATTATGAGATTTATCTGATTAAAACGACTATTTGTTTTTGAATACAGAACGTTTTTTGCATATGTTTTTCAACTTTTCCATATAGGGGAGATAACTCGGATAACATTATTTTTTGTCGTTTTTGATTTTTTTGATTTTTTTGCTATGGCATTGTCAGTCTGTTTTCGAATTATGAGTTTGAAATCCCTTTGGCATATTTCGTCTCTAATGATGGAATGTGTAGGGACTTTATCTATTTTGTTTTGTAGACAGAAAACGAGTCTCGTGATCCCAATTTTTATTTTTATTTTCTAACATTGAGTTTTCCATGTATAGTTTATACAAAATCTGACAATACTGCATAACCTGTAGCTTGCAAAATGCTCTGTGGCCCAAACTTTTTATTATGTTTTTCAAAAAAGAATAAACTAAATTTTGGCAAATAATTAAAAAAAATCTACCGATTTTAATTTAGACCACACTTATGAAAACTATGAGAGAGAGAGAGAGAGAGAGAGAGAGAGAGAGAGAGAGAGAGAGAGAGAGAGAGAGAAACTGTTGACATTAAAAAAAACATATCTACAAATTAATCAAAGCAATACCAAAATAATTCATGGACTTTAACAATTTTTACAGAATTTTGATTTTTTTTTTCTTTGAAAACACTTATAGATAGAGAGAAGCTGCAAAGAACCAAGAAAATCATTATGGACAAGAAAATAAGTGACAGAAATCATTAATTGGCTTCTTATTATAAGTTATAGGGGTCATTGTCCATTAATGACTTTACCAATTTAAAAAAAATAAAATATTCTCCTAGTGGATATATACATAAACTT